TTGATTTTTTTTTTTTCCGGTCTTTTTTTGAGACAGGGTTTCCCTCTAGCCCCAGCTGGCCTGGATTCACTATGGAGACCAGGCTGGCCCCAGCTGGCCTGGCACTTGCTATGTAGACCAGGCTGGCCTTGAACTCAATCTGCCTGCCTCTGCCTCTGAATGCTGAGATTAAAGGCATGCACTACAATGGCCGGCTCTTCCCTTTTTTTTTTTTTTTTAAAAGACAGGGTCTCATATAGCCCAGGCTAGCCTCAAACTTTCTAACAATAACCTTGAATTCCTGATACAATTGCCTCTATCCTCAAGTACTAGAGTTACAGCTACACACCATCATGACCCGTTCTTTCTCAGATTTCTGAAAGAGGGTTTGGCTTATTGCTACCTTTTAACTGTAAAAAAACTTTTTGCTAGGAATATGGCTACTTGGTAGAATGCTTAACTTAGCATGCCATGAGGCCCTGGGTTCAATCCCTAGCACCACCACTATGACCAAAAAGCAAATAACAACGACTGTATTTCATAACACTTCACAATTTATAAACATACTGCTACATATGCTACCCTGGATGATTAAAGGTAAAATCAGTACCCTACTATAAAGGCTTAAAGAAGAGTGCCCACACAAAGTTAGAACTAGAACTCAAACCTAGCCCATCTATGCTAAATCCTATGCTCCTTAAGTTAAAGCAGCCTGAGGATGAACTCTAGTCCATGGTGTTACTTTATTTGCACAATGTCTTAAAAGATCCCAGAAGGCAGTGGCAGTGAGAAGGCTCAGTGGATAAAGGCATCTGCTACCAAGCCTGACAACCTGAGTTTGACCCCTGGGAACTATATGGAAAGAGTGAACTGACCCCCACAAACTGTCCTCTAATCTCAACAAGGGCCCATAGTGTAAATGTGTGCATGCACACACACAAGACATACACATAAAACAAAAACAAATCAAAACACAGAGGGACATAATATTTAAAAACAAAAGCCAGCATGGTGGCACACGCCTTTAATTCTAGCACTTAGGAGGCAGAGACAGATGGATCTCTGTGAGAACGAAGCCAGCCTGGTCTCCACAGTAAGTTCCAGGTCAGTGAGGGCTACTCGGAAACCCTGTTTCAAAGAACCAAAAAAAAAAAAAAAAAAAAAACCCAAACAAAGACACTCAAACAAAAACAAAAAAAAAAAAAAAAAAAAAAAAAAAAAACAACAAAAAAACCACCACCACCGCCACCAAAAAACAAACAAACAAACAAAAAAACAGAAAGAAAAAAAAATTAAACCTAAGACCAACAAATGCCCACGTCATTTTAGTTCTGTAGTTTACCTATCTCATAACAAACTAGAATGTGCTCTACATGCTAAAAAAGAAGCTGTATTTTTTTTTAAATAAGATGGAGGACTGGGCATCATGGCACATGTGTTTAATCCCAGCATTCAGGAGGCAGAGGCAGGCAGATCTCTGTGAGACAGAGGCCAGTCTGGTCTACATAGCAAGTTCCAGGCCAGCTGGGGCTATAGGGAGATGCTGTCCCCCAAAACCATTAAAAAAAAAAACAAATGAATAATAAATAAAAATATGGAGAACCCACTATTTACATAAGACATAACTTTTGCATTTACTTATAACCAACTTCACCTATCAGGTTATGTGCTGAAAGTAAAGATCAGAATCCATGA